ACAACTTTTAACTGTTATGGTCAAAGATATAGTACAAAGCTGCTCATATTATGGCCCTTGGTTAGTTATTTTAGCTAGAAAAACTGAAAAAAAATTAGATTACTTTTTCTGCTCTGAAGTGATCACAGAATTTTTAATGAAAGGTCTTTCCAAGAATTGCTAATAAATATTCAACAGGAAACTGAACATAGATAATGCATCAGCTAAATGGATGTTTTCACAGAAAAATAAAGATGCATTCATGTAAACTGTCTGATAGATATGAAAAGAGACTCCCTAATATATTAAACTAGAAAATTAAATGGCAAATCAGATCATTTTCTTCATGCCCAGGAAATACATTCCACTTAATGAGCAATTAAGTTTTTACATCTATTTCATGTTTAAAATGTCCATGTTGTTCATAATGCTTACTGAAAAGAAACAGTGTCAACCTGGCATTAGAAATGTTGACCAGATGAGTAAAACAAGAATATTACAAGTTCTTTACAGCCTCAACTAAGGATTCAATTAGCTCCTAGTAAAAACTGTGTGGAAGGTCCTTTCCAAATAGATTTTCTGTGTCCCAGAAGGAAAATTTGAGAGGTGGTTGCTATCCTGGCCAAAGGCAGGATTTCAATTATGGGATCCCACAAACCTCTCTCTGTCTCTAATTTTTTTAAAGAAACTGTTAATTTTTGAATGCTGATTTTTATTGTTGTTATTCATGTAAATAATTTTACAAGAGAAACAGGGCCTCATGTATACTAACCACATTGGCACACAGATATAGGATGTTAAAGCATTCTTAGGCATTGTTTGGCAAGCGATCTGTCATTGCCCAAGGTAAAGTATTGTCAGTGGCTTTTTCATACTTTATTAGAGACAGTAGTATAAGGAGGGAGTCCCTTGTAATCGGTCCCACAAGTCTCACTTCTGGCAGATGTTCTTGGCTGGCTCTTTGTATTGACAATGGCTGATGTGGTCTTTGGAACTGTTCCAGGGCCATTTGATGGCATTCAATACCTTGAGGCACCAGTTCAACTTTGAGTAGCACTGGAATATTCCACAAGGACTCAGGACACTCTTATTACTTATGTCCCACATGTTGAGTGCACCGACAATCAGTGCCTGCACCATCACTTCATATCCCTTCTCCCTCAGGCCATCAGCCAGTGAACTTTACTACTTCAGCTTTTGTTCCCAGGCTTCAGCAAAAGCCTGCCACTAGGCTTGTAGGCATCCAGGATTTTTTTTTTAATTGTCCTCATTAAGTACAACAACCTCTAGTCTTAGTGGGCTGTTGCAGGGAGTAGTTCACAGCCGCCAGCCCTCCTAACATTGAGATGGCCTTGATCAGCCACTTCTTTATGATTTGTTACAATTGCTGTTTTCTGTTGTGTTGTTTGCAGCCATGGGACAAGGTCTTATTTTCAAAGCTGCCTCTCTAGCATCTCTTTTTAAATTTTGATTTCAGCCAAAATCAGGTGTGGGCTTCAGTCTGAGTTAAAATGAAGCCCAGGTTCTAAACTATACTTCTTGTACTCATAGCACCTCTAAACTTTGGATCTTGGTGGCCATGGCTATATTTTTGATAGAGGATATGGATATAGAACAGGAAATGAAATGATTAGCAAGCATGGTAATAAGATTTTGAAGAACTCTGGGTTTGTCTCTTCTGAGTTATCCTTTCTCTTTGCTTTTGTTCCCTTCTCAGATATATTGAACCAGAAGGTTGAATTCAAGTAGTCCTGCCAGGTGAGAATATGGTTCAGAGGTAGCCTTCTCAAGCTGGTACAAACTTGAGCACCAGTTGTTCAGTTGATTACATATTTAGTTGTAATCCTGGAAGCAAATGGTGTAGACCAAGAAAAAATTGGACTGATTTAAGAGCTGGAGTAAGGCTTTCCACAGATCAGCTGATCTGTAGGAACTGTTTAATCTGTCTGCTCTTATTCCAGGGGAAAAAGGCTCAATTAGGACTGTTTACCCCTGAATGAAATAGGACTAAGTTACAACAGTTAGCTATTACTTACTGGAGGCATGCACTTACCATAACAGCCAAGAAAAGAATAGCGATCTCTGCCTAATGTACAAGTCATTGAAAGGGATGAAATGACCCCTCCTAGGTAGACAATGGGAAGTAAACTGTACAAAGGAATCCTTTCAGGAATTTCATCTTCCAGTAAGTTCCGTGTGTGTGTGTGTGTGTTAATTGCCTTTTATTATTAATTACACCCGTTTTAGGGAAGCAGAATATTTCCCCTCACATCTTTTATCACGCTGACTTCTAATTAGAACAGGAAGTCTGTTAATTTTTGCCAAATCTTAGTAAGCCAATTTAGGATATTAACATTTGCTGGTTTGGATAGACAGGAAACCATAGGTGTATACTGATTTCTGCCATATTTATCTGAAAAGTGATATGGAGAGTGCACTCCGGATGAGGAAATGTGGGAGAGTGATGGCTACAGGATGCAGCTTTCTGGCCCTTTTGTGGTCCTTAGAAAAGATCACACGCTGTCCCTCCCTGGCAGGTGGAGGATGAGGAAATGAATAAGAGTATAGCACATCTTCCCTTGCTTTCAACACCCTTGAATGATGTTTTATTGCTTTCTCACACATCACTGTGCCTTACTTTCTGCAGCAGCCTTGAAAACTAATTGTTGATATGAGCTTTTCTTAATTTTTCCAATTAAAGTTTAGCTAGAGCATGGTATACTTGCTCAGTAAATACTTTTGTTTCTTAAAAGGAGACAAACATCTGAAATTCCCCACTGCTTTTTGGGCTTAGTCCCTATATATTCAACACTAGAAAAAGCTTTTGTTAATTAAATAAAAAATACTGTATTAATTTGTGCTAAATTCTGGCTCCTATGAAAAATGAAAATAGATGTAACATGCTGAATATAAAACCTTTTTCTTTTTTGATCCATTTGAACACCTACTGATTTTTCATAAGTATTATTGATGCTTCAAAGATTAACTAAATAAATATATTTTTGTTCTTGTCCTGCATCAGCATAGTGGGAGAAAGGGCATAGACTGGACATTATTAAAAACTAGAAGATGATGAAGGAAAATATATTTGTGGAATTCAGGTCTCTTCCAAGTAAGTGAATAATTTAGCACTAAGGATGTTCTCATAACCCGAGATGATGAAGTATACACATTTAGTTTGTATTGCTGCCTAACCACTTATTGACTCAAACATAATCCTTTCAGGATTAAATACTAGAATTCTACACCTTTCAAGGAGAATAACAAGTCTCTGTAGAACTCCTGCTGA